TGTGTGTGTGTGTGTGCATGTGTGTGTGTGTGGGTGTGTGTGTGTGTGTGTGTGTGTGTGTGTGTGTACGGGTGTGTGTATGTTGTTGTTGGTTTTTTCATGATATGCTTATTACGTTTGTGTGTCTGTGTGTGCGTTTTTATTTTTCGTTAGCATGCATGTAAGCAGGGCGCGTGCATGTGAATACATTGTGCACATATGTATGCTTTAGTTTGTATTTCGATAAGTACGTATTACTATGTGCACAGGTGCTGAATATGTGAAATAGTCCTGAAAAAAATGCATACTGGTACTCATATTTTTGCATGCTAACTAGCTGACAACCCTCTTCATTTTGGCGACACACGCAGATCTGACACAAAAACTTGCAGCATGTCTCTCTGTTTTCTGTTAATATATATTTTATAGAGAGGCTTAATGTCAATGCAACTGTCGTTTGTTTGCATGATTGATGATTTATAAGGCTGTAAATAAGTTCTCGTTGAAAGCAATTTAGTACATCTTATTGTTAAAACTAGCGGCCACAAACATGTGTTGCCTTCAGGAATCCAGCTGTGGCAAGAATTATTTTATAAACTAAAGAAGCACAAGAACAACAAGTATACAAAATACAGATATGTAGACATTAAGATGAAAAGACTAAATTTCAATATAAGAACACCAGAACTTAGAAAAAAATATGAATGAAAGCAAAAGTGATAAAACAATAAATAACTGAGGAGGCGTTGGGGGGGGGGGTGAGGAGAAGCGGAAGCAGATAACGATAAATGTTCCAGAACATAAAACAAGCAAGGATAATATGATCTTTTCCATTAGGAAACTATAGAACATCAAGAAGGAAAGATATAACATATAACTATCTGTGTGCTTTGTTACAAGCGTTTGGGAAAAGGACTGATAAAGCGATAGAGAGGAAGAGAAGGAGGGGGCTTTCATGGCCTAGAGGTTAAGGTGTTGGCCTCTCATTCAAATGTCCCGGATTCGAATCCGGGTAATGACCGAAAAATTTTCTTCTGTAAAATTGTCTCCTTTCACCTCCTTTCCTGCTCTCTAGCAATGTTCTATCGTCTGCTTTCGTTTCCACTTTCTGTCCCCACTCCCTCACCTCCTTTGCCCCCTCCTCTGGGCTCCTGACTCTATCTGCAGCCTTTCTACTGCTACTCCTTGGCTCCTCCTTACTGCTGTCTTTCTGCCACACCCCTGATCTTCAGGTAGGAAAGATCTACACTTAGCCTTCTCGGACAAGGGCGAAAAAATCTCGGAGGACCCGTGTGCAAGTTGGGCACGTTAAAGATCCCTTGGTGGTCAAAAATCGATAAGAGTAGGCTTCGGCCGCCACCCTGGCAAAATTCAAAATTTCCTACCAACTGAAAATATTAGGTGTGTCCGTAAAACACTTTACAAAAACAAACAAACAAAAACAAACGAAGAGAAGGAGAGCGGAGTTGTTTGTGCGTGTGAAAAGGGACATAGGCAGCTTATCTTTGTATGTGCCTGTGTGTATGTATATCATATGTGTGTCCGTGTGTGTGTGTGTGTCTATATATATATATATAGATAGATAGATAGATAGATAGATAGATAGATAGATAGATAGATAGATATGTATATATTTATATATATATATATATATATATATATATATATATATATATATATATCTATCTATATATATGTATATCTGTATCTATGTATATATATATAAAATATATAAAGTGTGTGTGTGTGTATGTGTGAATATGTGTGTGTGTGTGTGTGTGTGTGTGTGTGTGTGTGTGTGTGTGTGTGTGTGTGTGTGTGTGTGTGTGTGTGTGTGTGTGTGTGTGTGTGTGTGTGTGCGTGTTAAAAAAGAGTGAGGGTTTTAAAAAAAACCAAACGATGACATCACCAGAATCAAGATTACCAAAATTACAATAATACATGCAAAAACGCCTACTGAGACAACATGAGGGTACACACCTGATCCGAGCAGGGATTGCTGAGAGTAGCGCTTGTCCATTGTCTCCGGGTGAGTACGTCGGCACTGGAATGCCTGGACAGTCACACTGGACGGCGCGGGAGAGCGAACCTCCCTGGTGTTCTGCGCATGTCCAGAACCAGAAAACGTCTGCGAGTCGGGCTCCTGATCCGGCGAGGAACGGGGAGTAACTGAGCTCGCGCTACTCCCCATGAATATGACACACTTCCGGCGCAAGGGCGACAATAACGGGTTATTTTTCTCGTCGTCCCGAACGTTGATTCAGACCGGTTCAAGAAGACATGGGATTGGGATTGTTAGGAAGTCAAAACAAGGGGTGGAAGAAGGAAAAGAGTAGGGGGGGGGGGTGAAAGAGGAAAAAGAGGGGGG